CCCTCAAGATATGGATCCTAAAAATGATCGAAATTGCAGAGAAATCACAAATATCGTGGCTCGATGCGATCGTGCATTATYATCGAGTAAAATCCATAAATTGCTTTTCCAGCAGTTTTCGACGCATGTGCCACCACAAACCCTCAATACTGCCAAATAAAACTCCTTATTRAACGTCTGTCCCTCCGGAACAAATTCATGATGCACCAAACCACAAATATCAAAAAAAAAATAAATAAATAAATAAATATATATGAGCATCACCTTGATTTTTTAGCGGCTCATAAACCCATGATTCATAGGCAGTTATAATGCTTTCCATGGGATCGAAATTCGCACGATCAAGCATGTCCAATTAGATCTATTTACGGTGCTATTTTTGAAAAAAATTCAACATTATCGGGACGAGTCGATTAAGAGCGCGTTTCATACCCAAAATTTTCATCAAATCGAAAGGACACCCGACAGATGTMGAGCTCTCTTGCCTGATGATTTTCAATCTCCATATCCTTCACTTTTTCCAGTATTTTAATCAGTTGACGATCGTCTAGAACGCGGCATACCTTTAACYAACTCTAAACCGTCTTTGAAGGCTTTGTACCACTTAAAGGCTTGTGTTTTCGATAAAACTGAATCACCGTAAGCCATCTCCAACATTCGCAACGATTTGGCACACGAAATTCGGTTACAAATATAAAATTTAAGACAAACTCTTTGTTTGGTATTTTTATCGTCAAAAAAGTCTTGCGCTATTTTAGCTAGTTGGCGCTGAGAGCGCGTAGTTCTAGTTTTATTCGTCGCATCGGGTCATGCTATACCTTTATGGAAAGCTCATTTCACGCGCTAACACGTCTTTGATTGATTGTCGTTTCTTTTAAGTCGTTCGTGAGTTATAGCATCGCAAACATGGAGCAAAATAAAGAGAAAATACGGCATATTTTACARTACTACTACGATAAAGGCAAAAATGCATCTCAAGCCGCCAATAAAATGTGTGCAGTTTATGGACCCGATACAGTTTCCATTTCCGCCGCACAACGATGGTTTCAACGTTTTCGTTCTGGTGTAGAGGTGGTCGAAAACTGCGATAAAATCGTTGAATTGGTCGAAAGAGACCGGCATAGTAGCAGCCGTAGCATCGATCAAGAGCTGGGCATGTGTCGTCAAAAAAAGTTTTATGAACAATTGAAAATTTAATAAAAATATCGCAAAAATACCGCAAGACTTTTTTGACAAACTAATATGTTCGTCATGATCTACTTCATATAATTTTTTCGTTATTCTAGTTCTTATAGCTCGAAGATACAGGAGATGTGTAAATATTTTCTCAAACATATCTTCGCTTAATGCCGAAACATCTTAAATCAACTTAAAAATTTTAACCACCAAAACGTACATAGAAATAATTCTGTACAATTTCCCATAAATAGCTGACCATCTTTTTCGTTGCAGAAGTATTCCTCCTAAAAAAGGTTTCAAAATGTTAACTTTGTAGGTATTTACAAGGTCTAAACTTGCTAAAGTAAACATAAGCTATTTTGATAAAATTCCACAGTACTTGTAAGACCGCTTAATCGCTAGTTTTGCATTGTAATTAGTAATTTTATCCTTAGCGCCTTAGATTTTCCAAAAGTAATTTTATCATCTAAATCTCTCATTAATATGCTGGCAACGTTTCGAAATACTGAGTTCCCTTTTCTATTTGTTTTCTTTTCAATTCTTTTTATTTACAATTTTTTTTTTTTTGTTTTTGAGTAATAAAAATCGCTAACCATCAGAGCTGCCTCAAAAGAACATACAGTTTCACTTGTATGTGTGCTTATTGTCATTTACTAGTATTTCCTGATTCGTTTGAAGTGACCGCTCTTAAACTTCTTAAAATAAATACGATTCACTTCCTTCCTGCCTCCCCAGCACTTCTCTCATTCGTTGTTCCAACAAAATCGGCGTACATTCCAGCACACTTTGTCATATAAATTCAATTTGTAGAAGATGTAAGTATGTATGCCTGTGAAAACACATGTTTATCCACACAGTCAACTAATATTTACTTCACGCTTTGTCTCGCCGGCTARCCGCCCCCTAACGCAGGCTAACAGGCTCCTTGCGCCTTGCGCCTTGCCGCCTGCATCCGAGCGTTTCGGCTGCAAAGATTGCACTCTGCCTGGGCTGGCAGTGGTTTTGCCATTGACATTGATAAATTATTCCRCAAGTGTTCATGCATAAATCACAAACGGCTTGCATTACCAACAGCAGTGGCCAGTGCCAGCTGSAGYCGAATCCACTGGCAGCTCATCCAGCCGTTGGGTAAACTCTCTGGCGTTAGAAGTGCCAATTGTGGCGTCTACGGAGCTTACATTGCTTGCAGATATGTATGTACTCTTCTTGCAATAATTTCACATTTCTTTGCCATTTCCATATATTTAATTTATGTTTTTATTTCTCTTTCAAACTGTCTGCATCTGTAAGTGGTGGCATTTGTTGGCATTAGTCGCTGCTAATTGACAATGGATTTAGCGGAAACTCGCTTTTATTTACTCGCACGTACTTTTTATTGTCTCCCAGTTACTCGGAAGGACATCAATCCTATTGCTTTTGTTGTAACTCCTTCGTGGTTCACTTTGGAAGGCGGCTCGTTGTCTCCAATAAAGACAGGCGAGAGTGTGAGCGCAAATGCCGCTATTAATTACTGTAATTTTAATGATATTGTGACTCAATGTTTTATATTTATTGTCAGATAATAATTTYTTCGTGGTTGGGAGAACAAAATATTTCAAAATCTAATTTCTGCACGAAGAATTAATGACTATTCCTTATACTCGAGACCTTAACTTGTTTTACATTTTTCTAATCCAAAGCTCGAAGTTAGGTACAGATTATTGACAAAACGTTCTACATGGATCCAAACGTATCTATACCGTTAGTTACTTACAATTGTTTCAAATGCACTYAGTTAATGTTATSATTATATATTTGTTTMATWTKCAAAGGATTTCTTTGTATCCTATCYGAGTTTCTTATAATTTCATAATCATAGATTAGTTTAAATAATGCGCTGATTTTTCGTAACGTCACGAATAACCCCACTTGAATAGCACGAGACGTTTGTCATTTCTGCGGCCCAGCATCCTAGATATGACCTTGAAGTACAAGTTTTTTGCACTGGCTTAATATCTACTCCAGCCGATTCGCCAAATTAATAGAATGGTCGACGAAAGCTGGACAGCGAAGGAATAAGCGTATTGAGTAAAAGAATACAGGGAAACATGTGCTCGTCCCCATCCTGAACGGATTTTGTAAGGATGTTCTTTCCTGCAAGCTCATCGGCTTTACTGTCTCCGACGATTTCGCTGTGAAAGTCACTCAAACAAGATCTATATGGCAGTAGTTTGATGTTACAGCCAGTGAGCAGTGCACACCTTGACTAACTTTGAGTTCACTGTCTACGGGCTCAAGGCCTGTATAGCAGCTCTGCTATTGGTGTAGGTAGGTAGGTAGGTAGGAGTGCTGCCCTGTTGTCTATCGGGCTCAGTTAGCACTTGATGTGCCATTTTAATATACTATGCGTAGAATCTTCTGTATCTGCTATTACGTTGCACAGAAATCCATTCAAGGTTTGGTGCTTGATGGATTCCAAGTGTTTTGTGTCGGATCTGTGCTAGGGCTGGGCATTCACAGAGAAAGTGCCAAATTGTTTCCTTGTTCCCTGCTATTCCGTAGCCTCGGCATATGTTGTTGTTTTGACCGCATGTTCCCGAAATGGCCAGTGGCCCTGTTGTGGTAGCTGTTACTCTGTAGATACTTTTCCTTGACCTATTTAATAAGTCGTTGGTTCTTTTCCTGTCATATGTTGGTCATCATTTTTTAGTTCGGATGCATTTCGTAATGTTTTTCCATCTGTTATTTGCAACTTGTTGAAATTGTTCACTGATCTCTCTTTTGATCTATCCGAGCGGGCTTGGTATTAGCTCCGCCTCGGATTAGTTAAGGAAAGCTCCTACTTTTGCCAACTCGTCTACTTTTTAGTTATCGAAAATGTTCCTGTGACCGGGAACCCAGTTCAAGTCTAGTTGGAGTTTGTCTTTTATTGAGCTTAGTGCTTTCTTGCAGTTRTGGACTATACTGGAATTAGTCATGGGCAAAGACAAAGCCAGGAGCGCCACCTGGCTATCCATAAATATAGTTGCTTTGTGTATATTCTCGTGGTTTTCCAATAGAACTTYGCAGGCTTTTTCTATGGCTATTGGTGTAGATGCATACTTACCTAAAAGAAGCGGCACTTCGTAAATGATGGCTGCCACTTTCGCCTGGAGGATACTACGCTGTCTCTTATACACATCTAGATGTGTATAAGAGACAGCTTCGTAGAATGATGGCTGCCACTTTCGCCTGGAGGATACTACAGTGGTCAGGGAGTCTGGAAGAATAGTTGATTGAGAGCTTCGGACAGAATAATTTCCCTCCAACCTTGCCCTAAACCTAATTGCGCCTTTTCTCCAGCTACTCCTCCCCTTTCATATATCATATCCTTGGTAGATATGTGCACGGAAAAGTTGGGTGTTGGGTATGCTCCGCGGCGCAGTAACCCAAGTTTTCAGGAATGCAAAGGAGGTGARAGAGGATTTCGACATGTCTTTCTCTGGGGCCATTGGTTTCTTGTTTTTAATAATATTTCCCAAGTATTTCAAATATTTATTTCATTTTTCCAAAAGGTAACACATTTTTTACATGGATTTAAGATTCTAATTGACATTCAGTTCACTTGACATCACCTCAAATGTAGGCAACATAATTGCGGCACAACAAAACCTTGCCTATGTTTAGGAGATTTATTCAAGACTTATTTGATTTAAAAACTAATTTCGTAGATTAGTTAGAGACCCTTTATAAAAACATTTGTTCAAAAATATAACTAGTTTTACTCTAAATAATTTATCATTAGTTTTAGTAAAGATAACAGTTAGTAAAAAATATAATTTGATCATATTTCTTAATTCCAGGTGATTTTCTATGACTCCGACTGGAATCCGACCGTCGATCAACAGGCTATGGATCGTGCGCATCGCCTTGGACAAACCAAACAGGTGACCGTTTACCGACTAATCTGCAAGGGCACCATTGAAGAGCGCATCTTGCAGCGTGCACGCGAGAAGAGCGAGGTGAGTGCTGTTTTTTCCGATTGAAACATTATATAAACGAGTTAAAGTATTAACTACTTGCGATCGGTGCCCACAACTTGCCACTTATACCCTCGTATATGGATACAGCACTTAGTTCCCTTTTGGTAACCGCAAAACGTTTCAAATTGCCAGCGCACAAAAACAATTGAAATCACTTAAAATATACACTTGCTTCCACACATGCCATACTTACAAGATCGCAGCGTTTCGGGCTGCGGGATGTGCGCGCCCGCATTCATTGTCTTGCGTGGCACGTGCGTTTTAGCGTGTCGCCAATAGCCCCTTCTTCCGCTTCGTGCTACTACAGCGAGTTGTGCTTGTTGTGTAGCACATGTGTTTAGATTTTGGTTGCATGCAACACGGCTTGCGATCACTTGTGCGATCAGTAGTAAAATGATCTGCTCTTCTTTCATGAAATGTTGTCGCTTTATATTGTGTGCGGCGTTGTTGTTGTCCATTCAATCTAGTCGGTATTCTTGTTGCAACCGTTGTTGTTGCATTGAGTTGTAGTTTTGTTTTTCGGTTTGCCGCACCGGAAACTAATTATTCAATTTAAATGTTGTCGAAGGCGATACCGCTGTTACGCCTTCCTCCATTAAGCGAGTAGAGTTACAGAGTTTTTGGTTTTGCTTTTGTAGGAGTTGCTCATTTTTTAATGGAAATTATATGTTTTTGTAAATGGGATAGGCGCTTTGGTTGGACAATGTAAGCCGGTATTCATACAGCCTTTAAATATTCARAATTGTCTTTCGATATCGAATTGAWGAGTGAATTTGATCTGTTCTCAGCAATAAATTACACGCATGCGTGGTTTCTAAAATAACCTCTTGTTTTCTGCTATTTTCTCGATCTGGTTTAAGTAAATTGCCCGTAAATAAAAATACATTTATTGTTATTGAATATTTTTATATTATTTTTGTATTACCTTTCATTTTACAGATTCAACGTATGGTCATAAGTGGTGGCAACTTCAAACCCGACACTCTCAAGCCAAAGGAAGTGGTCTCATTGTTGCTGGATGATGAAGAAATTGAACTGAAGTGTAAGTAACATTCATAAATGTCCAGAATACTATATTGATAATATAAATACTTTTTATTTAATGAAATATATATTTTTCATTTGTCCAAAGGGAAATAACATACTTTTCTAGGAGAACCAAACATCAAARACCCTATAAAGTATATAAACGATGAGGGAGATGATCTGGGTTGACTTGGTCCGTCTGTCTGTATATATGCGAACTAGTCCCTGAGCTTATAAGATATCGTTCTGAAGTTTTGTCAGTATATTTTTCTCACCAATAAACTGCTGAGTTGTCGGAACGGCWGATATCGGACCACTGTAGCATATARCTGGCATCCAAACGAAACAAATGTGGCATGGGTTATGCCACTGCCTTATMCAAAGAACTTTCTCTCAAAAACTCGTAACGCCGACTCATCATTTGTTGTCATCATCCACGCCTCTGCGCCATATAACAGGACGGGAATAACGACACTTAAAGAATTGAGGTTTTGTTCGACGATAAAGSACTTTATTTCTCAATTGTATCTGAAGTAGCACCTTTTGGAAAGAGTTATTCTGCGTTGGATTTCGAAGCTCACATTATTGTTGCTGTTAATACTGGTTCCAAGATAGATGAAATTATTTACGACTTCGAAGTTATGGCTTTCAACTGTGAAGTGGGATCCAAGTTGCGAATGCGACGAATATTTGTTTGATGACAAGAGATATTTCGTCTTGCCCTCGCTACTACCAGACCCCTTTGCTCGGCTAGGGAAAAGTTAGCAACGTAAATATGTAGAAGATTTRCTTCAAATAATCTGGTTTGTTGTCAAAAGTTGCTCTTTTTACTAGTTTGTGAAAGCTATTCGTCGTTGAAATTTTTTTAAAGTAGGCATAGATGGCGCGGTTTCTCGTGCTACTCCATTAATTGTGTTGTCTGATCTTTAAAGCAAGGAAAATTTGTCATAATTTGAAAACCCAAGCTTGCTGGAAGCCTTAAAAATTTTTGTTTTCACAAACCGCCGGAATTGCCCATTGCCCCAGTATGTCGGAGTCTATTTTGGATAGGTAGGAGTTTAACCCGTATAAGAAATCCAGAACAAAGATCACTTTGCTTTCACGTGACAGCTTTTAGCTTACGGTCTGCGTTGGGTGGCGTTTAGAATCCATTCACTTGACGAGAGTCGGTGAAGCTGTATTTCTACGAAATCATACAAGCAGGAACTCTTTAAAGAGGCGTCCATTATGTTCTATCAACCGGAAACATGTAAATCTCAATCTGGAGTTGATCGACGGCTTAAGATATATTCTGTGATAGTCCGGACTACGATATAATGGCTTCTCTGTATGTTCTTCAGCTGCGTCCTGCTGCATACAGGCGAGGACATTGGGGCTTTCTAATTAATGATTTCTATTAGAAAAAGTGTTCAGCTCCTGCAGTTCGAGTCTTCTTCCAAATTTTTACTGTAACATACATTGTTTTACATTGCGAGATCTCTTTAAACGCTTACCATTGTTTTGCTCTGCCGGCATCGCTGAAAAAAGCGACGAAATATCCAGCATTTGGAATTTTCATTCTGATTTTCGCTTTGGCGGCAGCAAGTAACYTAATCCGGGCAATTTCAGTCTGCATTTCATGTCATCAAATACTTTGCTTATTAAAGTGGAATTATCCTAAATTTACCYAAAGATTAAGTTGTTCATCTAGTGTCTAGTGTTTGCTCATTTCCGCCTATTGCGAAATTATCTCTCCTTTATCTTTTATCCCAAATTAAATGACTCTAAAATCACCAAGCAGAAATTGAATTAACTTTTTTTAATATTAATATTTTTTTGTTTTTTTTGCAGATCGCCAAAAAGTTGGTCCGGATGCACCGTCCACCAGCCAAAATAGAGATGTACCCGGTGTAAGCAACGATAAGAAACGCCAACGCAATCCAAATAAGGTGCGTACCAAAAGTCACTTCTAAATAAATACAATGTAACAAGTAAATTGAAATGGAACTACGCACACTTTAAATGGCTGCTTTGGGCTGCGTAGAAGATAGCGCGCGTCTACACGCTTGCGGCCCACATGGAATGGCTATCTCCAAATCAATCTGAACGCTTTAGAAACTGTAATCTAGCTAARTARCTGCATTTATGCATATGCGCATGTATGTATGTATGTCTAAGCGCAGACCGTAAGCGTAGCGCAGTGGAAGCTATAGTACCCACTTGCTTTCCACTTGCCGCGATCGCTGCACTGTGATAATGTTAATAGCATTAAAGCGGTGAAAAATAGTGTGGCGCATGCGCAACGAATGCCATCATGGTGCAGCAATTCGAAGTGTTGCACTTACTRTGTCATAGTGCCACTTAAGTAGCGCACGCGGCTCTCGGTGGTCCAATGCACTTGGCGCGACTGGAAACATCGCGTGGCATCGTTAGAAATGTTTATTTGCACTTACTCTCTTTCGCCTCCATTTTCTTTCTAAGCTGCTATTATATAGCGCTTGTGGCAGCTTAATTCAAGTACAATTTCGCTTAACAATTTCATCTGTGTCTGAAGACGTTCTTCCGACTTTATTACTATTATTATTTATTGTTGTTCTGTTGCTCGATTCATTCTTGATTTTCCGCTTTAGCTTTTAATGAAAACAAAGTGTACATGCAACTACTTTGCCGATTCCTGCACTTGTTCGTGTTGTGCGCTCTTTTTCATTGTCACTGCTTCGTAACCCCTTCGCAAACAATGCAAACGTCATGGTCACGTGATTCGCAAGTAGTGTAAATAGCCGCAGCACTTCAATATGTATCACTTTAAAGTGCGTAGACCATTTCTGTGGTTGCACCAGTTAWGTTCTTTATGCGGTCTTCGTCTCGCATTCTATCATTTATTATGCCTC